TGAATATATTGAGAACAGCTTTCATTATTATGCTTATTATGTTTCTTAGTCTTATTCGGGTTATCATTCTTATTCGACGTATTATTCTTATTGCCACTCGTAACTTATTATTATTATTATTATTACTCTTACTCTTAGCACTGTCATTCTTCTGATTCTTTTTATTACTCTTTTTCTTACTATTATTCGCAGTTCACTATTATTATGATTCTTATTCCAATTCCAATTGGGATACCACCCGAACCGGGGCGCGGGAATTATTTATTTTCGTTCCATCTGCGCGGTGCTAACATGTCGTTCGGCGAAAACCGCCCCCCAGAATTATTTTCATTACGGTGCTGTGCTAATGATAACCCCGGGGGGGGTCCTTAATGGCTTCTTGAGGTTATTTCGTATGCCATGAAGCGCCTCGATGCGTGTTCGTCTTCGCCGTGAAGGACCTCGCTTGTTGTTGGTGTGCGCCATGGAACGCCTCGGTGTGTCCCTCGTTTTTTTGTTGTGTGTGTGCGTCATGGGACACTTTTATTCGCTTGCGACATGCGATACCACGGTAAATTTCATGTGCGCTACAGAAGACGTAGACGGTTTGTTTTTCCTCAGTGAAAGACCTCGACTGCTTCATTGGTGCCATTCCAGGAAGTGGTGGTCGACCAACCCGGGAAACATGCGGGCGTTCGAAAAGACACGAATTCGCTGGCCGGCGGGCGACCATCCTGACGGGGACCCCAGAATCCAGAACTGGTGGGGGGCGACGAACCCCAGAACTGGCAAGGCCACCGATTCCAGTGCGACTGTCCCGAGAACTGGTGGCCGATAATCCCGAGAGCTGGAGGGCGCCAGCCCCACAACTGGCAATGCAACAGACGCCCCGCGCGAAAGGCCTCGGTAATCCGTAAGGCGTAAGGGCTTCGCCCCATGCCACCGGCCCCCTGTCTCGGATAATGGGAGATGCAAAAGCTAAATCATGAGGTCTGGGCGCCGCCGTGAAGCAGTGCCGGGACCGGTTTGTTTTTCGACCCTGACCTTACGGATCTGCGTCACGGGTGCCACCGAATTCCAGAAATGTGGCAACTCCCATATGTTTTTGGACCCTGACCCTGCGGATCTGCGTGAGAGGTGCCGCGGAATTTCAGAAATGTGGCAAATCCCATGTTTTTGGGGACCCCGACCCTGCCGACTTGCGTGAGAGGTGCCGTCGAATTTCAGAAATGTGGCACATCCCCTGTGTTTTTGGACCCTGACCCCGCCGATCTGCGTGAGGGGAGCCACCGAATGTGAGAAATGTTGCGAATCCCTCCCTGACCCCGCCGATCTGCGTGAGGGGTGCCAGCAAATTTCAGAAATCTAGCAACTCACTTTTGTTTTTGGATCCTGACCCTGCCGATCTGCGTGAGGGGTGCCGCGGAATTTCAGACATGTGGCAAATCTCCAGTGTTTTTGTACCCTGACCCCGCCGATCTGCGTGAGGGTTGCCATCGAATGTCAGAAATGTGGTAAATCCCTTGTGTTTTTGGACCCTGACCCCGCCGATCTGCGTGAGGGGAGCCACCGAATGTGAGAACTGTTGCGAATCCCTCCCTGACCCCGCCGATCTGCGTGAGGGGTGCCAGCAAATGTCAGAAATGAAGCAAATCCCTTTTGTTTTTGGACCCTGACCCTGCCGATCTGCGTGAGGGGTGCCGCGGAATGTCAGAAATGTGGCAAATCCCATGTGTTTTTGGACCCTGACCCCGCCGATCTGCGTGAGGGTTGCCACCGAATGTCAGAAATGTGGCAAATCCCTTGTGTTTTTGGACCGTGACCCCGCCGATCTGCGTGATGGGTGCCCAGACATGCGGCACATCCCATGTGTTTTTTGGACCCTGACCCCGCCGATCTGCGTGAGGGGTGACAATTTTTACCCACCCCAGGAATTCTGACAATACGATTTTGGCGTGGTAGAAATGCCCGTTTTGGGCCTCCCCCCTCGCGCGGTCCATTAACAAGGAACAGTAAGAAGCAATAAGTGAACAAGGGACAGAAAGCAGCAATAAGCATAATTGTAACAGTGGAAATTTGAAGCTGCAGCTGGTACAGGAAACTGCGAAGCTTCGGCCTACAGCCTGGTGGCCCCACAAGGGGGCCAGCGGATTTCTGGTGCGCGCCAAGGGGCACTTCGACATCATTCATGCGCCGTCTTGGGGGAGGAGGAGGAGGAGGAGGAAGAGGATGCGGAGGCGGAGGCGGAGGAGGCGGAGGAGGAGGAGGAGGAGGAGGAGGAGGAGAGGAGGAGCAGGAGGAGGCGGAGGAGGAGGAGGAGAGGATGAGGAGGAGGAGGAGGGAGGCGGAGGAGGAGGGAGGAGGAGGAGGAGGAGGAGAGGAGGAGGGAAGGAGGAGAGGAGGAGGAGGAGGCAGAGGAGAGGAGGAGAGAGGAGGAGGAGGGGAGGAGGGAGGAGGAGGAGAAGGAGGGGAGGAGAGGAGAGGGAGGAGGAGGAGGAGGAGGCGGAGGAGGAGGAGGAGGGAGAGGAGGAGGAGGGGCGGAGGAGGAGGAGGAGGAGGAGGAGGAGGAGAGGAGGCGGAGGCGGAAGCGGAGGAGGAGGAGGGCGGAGGAGGAGGAGGAGGAGGAGGAGGAGGAGGAGGAGGAGGCGAGGCGGAGGCGGAGAGGAGGAGGAGGAGTAGGAGGAGGAGGAGGGGAGGAAGGAGGAGGAGGAGGAGGAGAGGAGGAGGGTAGGAGAGAGGAGAGGAGGAGGAGGCGGAGGGGGAGGCGAAGCGGAGGCGGAGGAGGAGGAGGAGGGGGAATGAGGAGGAGGAGGAGGCGGAGGAGCAGAGGGAGAGGAGGAGGAGGAGGGAGGAGGAGGAGGAGGAGGAGGAGGAGGAGGAGGAGGAAGGGAGGAGGAGGAGGAGGGATGAGGAGGAGGAGAAGGAGAGGAGGAGTAGAAGCAGGAGCAGGAGGGAAGGAGGAGGATGAGGAGGAGGAGGAGGAGGAGGAGGAGGGGGGGCGGGAGGCGGAGGCGGAGGAGGAGGAGGGGAGGAGAGGAGAGGAGGAGGAGGAGGAGGAGGAGGAGGAGGAGCCGGGGGCGGAGGAGGAGGAGGAGGAGGAGGAGGAGGAGGACGAGGAGGAGGAGGAGGAGGAGGAGGAGGAGGTAGGATAGACCTCCCACCCTCACACGTCGATCAGCGAATTGGCCGTTTTCGGTTCGCGAGAGAGCGTCGCGGCCGTCGTTTCCCCGGGTTCAGGTCCGTCGGTTTCGGCCCTAGGGCGCTTTCACTGAGGGGAGGTCTGCTAAAGGGAGGTTTGTCCACCGCCGACAGGGCCTGAGGCCTAGCTCATGCCCCAGTCTACGGCTTAGATTCGGCCCTGGGCTTCGGCCCAGGGCTAGAGCTTGGGGCTGTGACCTAGGGCCTCGTAGCTCGGGCCTGGCCGCCGCTTGCCGGCGGCTTGTGGCCCTAGCTGGGCTTCGGGCAAGGGGTCGGGGCTCGGGTCGGGGCCAAGGCTCGGGGCGGGCCCAGCGCTCGGGCGGCCTCGAGCCGGGGTCGATTGGCGAACACCGAGGTCAGCATGTTGCGCCGAGGTAAATGCCGAGGCTTGATATGAGGCCCGAGTAAACCGCCGAGGTGACTGCCCGGGTCAAAATTGAGGTCCGAATGGAACGCCGATGTGAATGCCGAGGTCCAATTTGAGGCCCAACAGAAGCGCCGAGGTAAATACCGAGGTCAAAATTGAGGCTCGACTAAAATGCCGAGGTGGTTGCCGAGGTCAAAATTGAGGTCAAAGTGAGATCAATGATTGAGAAATGCGCGATCGATTGACGTCATTCTGATGAACCAATGAAAGATGATGCCCAAACAGCGGTCGAAACCGATGCCAAAATGGAGGTCGCAAGTGAGGTCATATTAACGCGCCGAGGTGAGTACCGAGGTCCCAGCTGAGGCCCGACTAAAACGCCGAGGTGAAATCCGATGTCAACATTGAGGCCCGACTGAAACGCCGATATGTCTACCGGGCCAATATTGAGGCCAACATAGGTTTCAATCTCGAGGTCGTCGTTGAGGCACACATTGAAGGTCGCCCCCGATCCCCCCCCCCAGTTCCATGCGCGGCGCGCCCTGAGGACCGTCCCCCTGAAGCCTCAATGCGCGACTGAAATCTTCACCTGGTGATTCGCGAGACTCCCGCAACACCCGGCATAACATGTATAAGGGCCTACCAGATTTTACAGGTTCCCAGAAGAATTCGAAGGGTGCCTGAAAGCTTCGAACAATTCGCAAGGGCCCGACGCCGTGGGAATGCGTCGGCTCTCCCGCGGCCTCAGAGGCGAGGTGGCGCAAATGGATCCCGAGGTTGAAGAAACTGCGGTTCCACATGGCCCTGGCAGGGGACTTCATGTCGCATTCCCTCCGTTCCCTCCCCTTGGCCGTCTGGCCGCCCTCTCCCCCTCCCCGCCCCCCTCCTCCCCATCCTGCCCGGCTTCGTTTCCGAGGTACCTGGAGAACGTTCTAAAAGCTTGGCCAATGGGGCGAGATCTCATAGATTCGGCTCAAGTTTTCTTATGAGCGTTGGTGGCCGCTGGTGTTCAGCATGTGGGAGTCGTAAAGTCGTGCAGCCGTCGAGGCACTGCGCAGAATGCCCGACATGCGTCGACGCCATTGCGACCCCCCCTGCAACAACAAACGAGGCCCCGCGCGCGTCCCCGAAGCAGCCGTACAGGCCCGTTGTGTGCTGGATGCGCCACCCCCCCAACAGAAGCCATCGAGGCCCCGCGCGCTCCCCCCGAGCTCTATCGAGGTGGTTGCAGGTATGGCCAAAAGCCATCGACGCCACGCGCGATGCACCCCAAATGCGCCGAGGTTGTTGCGGGAAGCCGCAAAAAGCAACCGAGGGGGCCATAGTAGTTCGCGCGCAGGAGCGAGCGAGGTAGACCTCTACGGAGCCAGCAAGGTCATTCTCGAGAGAGTTCCCGACTCCCTTATCGATCGTGGTAGAACTTTTTCATTGCAGGCCAGATGCACCTCAGAGCGAGATGCGGAACAAGGACATTGAGCCCAACGTTGTCAGTTTCAATGCTGGGATATGCGCGTGCGGCGCAGGCGAGCAGTGGCAGCGGGGCTTATGGCTGCTCCGCCAGATGTGGGTGAGGACTTTGAAGCCCGACGCCATCCTACTTACAGAGTTCGCCTGTGCCCATTTCACGGGCGGCTCGCAGTTCGTTGAATGTTAAATGGTTCGCGCAGTTCTCGACGGAGGGGGTGGGGGGATACAAGAAAGGGAGGGGAGGGCAGCGGGTTGGAAGGTAAGGGAAAGGAGAGATAGTGGTGAAGGGGAACGAGGGATGACTCAAGCTTGGCGCGCTCGGGTCAGATTCGAAATCCACCCCCTCCCGCCTATCTCTTCCCATTGCGCTCGTTGGATCGTTTTCGGCGGGCGTGTCGTAACGGACCTGGGATTCCCAGATGGCACCGCTGTGTTGTGCGCATTCGGGAACAGGGGAGCTGTGCACACATTGAGGAGGAGGAGGAGGAGGAGGAGGAGGAGGAGGAGGAGGGAGGCGGAGGCGGAGGAGGAGGAGGAGGAGGAGCAGGAGGAGCAGGAGGAGGGGGGGAGGAGGAGAGGGAGTAGGAGAAGGAGGAGGATGAGGAGGAGGAGGAGGGGGGGAGGAGGAGGAGGAGGAGGAGGAGGAGGAGGAGGAGGAGGAGGAGGAGGATGAGGAGGAGGAGTGGGAGGATGAGGATGAGGAGGAGAAGGAGGAGGAGACGACACATAATGATTATTGTATTCACCCATGAGAATTAAAGCAGTAGTAATACTAATGACACCTTTACAGATAATATTCATAATAAGAAGACGGGGAGGAAGAGGAGCTGGAGAAGGAAGAGGAAGAGGAAGAGGAGGAGGAGGAGAAAGAGAAGGAGGAGGAGAAGGAGGAGGAGGAGGAGGACTTGACGTGATATGGCTTAAGGGGCGCCTTAACACCATGTGATATGGCCTGCGGCCATCTCCACCCCAGGGTTGACAGGGGGACCTGCGCCACAGCAGGCCACCCTAGGGGTGACATGAAGAATTTGACCTCCCCAGAGCCCAGCAACTTCTCGTTGGATCGAGGGAGGACGCGTGTCAGACCTAAGTGTCCAATGTACTTTGCTGTGTTGCATCGTACGGCACGCGCACTCCATACGCGCGATCCCTTCAACCAAAACTGCTTTAACAATTTTAACGCCGGTTTGGGCGAAACTGCTTTACCAGGCTTAACGCTTGCTGCGCCGCACCGTCCCCGTGACATTTGCAGCGCCTTGCGTGGCGCAGGGGGATAGCGGATGGGACGGTACGCTTAACGTCTGGGTAGTTGCAAGTTCTCGTGCTGACGATTTGTGGTCGTTTGAGTGAGCAAAAAGTGCGTCCCTACTCTGGGGCGCGGTGCGGCATGGATTCACGGATGCGCCGGTACGCCTAATAGCAAGTCCAAAGTGGCCGCAACAAAGTGTGGTTTTGGTCTGTGGTGTTGCGTCTATCCCAGCCGCATGGCCGATAATTCGGGGGTGAGGTGTCGAACGCTAGCATCCAAGCAGCAGGACCGTGAGACGCGATAGCTTGCACCACGTATGGTGTTGTTGATGTAGACCTTGAGTTTGCCTTGGAGTGCATCGGCACCTACGGACTGGATCAAATACTGAACTTTGTCATGCACTTGGTGACAGCGATGGACGCGTGACGATGGGAGCGACAGGCGCGCTTTTCCCCTTGAGAGCGTCCAGAGACTCAGAGGAGGGAGGAGGCAGGGAGGTACTCGCCCAGGCAAACCGCAGGGCCAACCTTTGGGTTCGGGTATTGCCCGCGAATATGACGGTCCAAGGAGTACCGCGCTCCACTGGACGTGAACTCCATGCCGAGCCTCCTGAGTGCGCCTGTTTCCGAATATGTTCCGCAACGGCTGCATGTAAATATTACCCCCACGAGTAGTTGGAGATGTGCAGCGTGTGTTTCCGGGGGTTTGCTACCAGGTTGCTGAAGGGAAGGGGGCGCTGTGCCCCTGGCAAGGGGATATCGTGGGCGACGGCTTGCGCTTCCCTTTTACACATCGGAGGCAGCGTTGACATGCCCAGCGCGCACGCTTCCATGCCCAATCATAGCCCTCCACAGTTGCCGCGACGTCCGCTGCTGCTTCGGCTGGCGGGGACGGTGGAGGAGGGGGAGGGGGTGCGGGGGGTGACGGCAGGACAGGATTTGCTGCGCGGCGCCTATGCCAGTGACGAAGCCTGGTTGACGCAGAGACCGCTTAAAATGTGGACCGCAACTCCTTTGAAGGCGCCAGCCTGGGGAACAACAGGAGCGCTTGGACCATCTACTTCAGATAACGACGCAGAGATTCCGACTCCTCAATCCAAGCAGCGACCTCCGAGCCCGACGGCTGCGCTAAGGTCAGGGCCCCTTTCTTGGCGCAGCGGTTTGCAAAGTCGTTGTCGATCGCTCGCCACCGCGCGAGGGACAAACTTGAAAGGTCGTCAGGGATCACATTGGCCAGAACCGTCACAATCTGGAAATCGTGGTTTCACGAGGGCGAGCCTCGAATCTGCACGTGGAGCCCGGCATAGACGTGCTGCTTCGGCGTAACTTGTGCCCGCGGCGCGTCTGCCATCTTTGCAAGGCCGAGGGAATCTGGATAGATGAAAGTCACGCGCGGGCAACGCTGCACCACTGCCAGAACGGCGATCTGTTCAGCAGCCGGCGAGGTTTGGGGGTAGTCGGCCCCTACCGCCCCCCTCAACGCAGCGAATAGCTCCCCTGCTTGCGCGATGATCTTCACTACAGCCCAGCCGGCTGCATGGAAGGTCACGGGGCCGTGCTTACAGCGGGAGCCATCCGTGAATGCCCCCTTGTGAACGCTTTCTCGATCGAGAGGCCGTGTTGCAGACACCTATACTGATGCGTGTCCGTGCCCGATCCTGTTGGCGGATTGGCCACGGCCCCAGGCCGATCTTGGAAGCTTCAAACTAAAGGGAAGTTACGATGCGGGCCCGAAATCAAAATCTTGCCCGCTTCTGAGCAGTTCGTCTCGGAACTGGCGGGTGCATGGGCAATGGTGCAGCCTGTGCGAAATAGAATCGGAAGGCCTTCCGCACATGCACCCAGAGTCCACCTCGTAACCCGCCAGTCGAAGCGGGTGCGCCGTCCACAAGGATTGACATACAAGTGCAGCCACACTCGTGGCGCGATCGGCTGCACTCTGCAAAGGGGCGCCTTGCTATGCTGAAGTCTAGCTACGCGTCAGACGGAAGGCTTATTTTCTGGGCGATGGTCGACGCGCTCACTTGCGCCCATTGCTCTTGAAGCTTCAACTTCAAGAATTTTGAGGAGAAAGCCGTCAGGGGCCGACGTCGGCAAGCCGGGTCCTGGAAAATGAGCGGTGTATGGAAAAATTATGTTAAACGGCTTAAAGAGAGGACTACAGCACCCAAGGGCAGTGGCACCTGCGACCAAGACGCTGGCGGCCTGGGCAGAATTGGTTGGACGAGTTGGAGGAGGCGAGAGAGGGGTTGTGGGTTGGCTCATGAGTGGTCCATGCTGGCCTTCCAAACGATTTTGGACCACAAGAGGGCTGGCGCCAATCCTTGGCGCCATGTTGGGTCGGCTTGCTCACAGAGGGAAACCGAGCGCGAGCGGGAGTCCCTTCGGGCACCTACCAACTTGAGAAAAACAGACTGCGCTGCCGACAGCTTCGCTGGGTCAACTCCCGTCACCGCCACTCCATACATGCCGAATTGATTTAGGCCTGTCGTGTAAACCTTTCGCAGGTCCATTCCTGCTCTGCGAGTGGCAAGCAAGCGGCGGCGGCGCCCCTTCAATTTGCCGAGGCGTTATTTCAAGACAGGCCTGCTAGATTTATAGTTGCGTCGCTTGCCGGCTGCGGAATCAATGCCGAGATTCCTCCCTGAGCTCCCCGCAGTGCCCGCGTGTCGGCCTGACGCCACGGCCAGTCTAGCCCGGAGCTGCGGGTGGGTGGCGATTGTCGCCGACTTTGCGGTGGTGACTGAGCACTTGGCATCGCTCGGACGTGTGCATTTTTCCTTCGGCGAGGACCCTCGAGGAGCATCCTTGACCATTTGGCGAAAAAACACGCACGAAGCCAAAAAAAGGCACAGGGAATTGACGTCCGAGCGATGGCAAGAGCAATGCAAATCATGTGTGGTAGCGTCATGTAAGTCAGCGGCCCCTTTCACCACGGGTCAAATTGCCTCAGCTACTGTGGGGCGCGCGGTGCCACGCGTGAGATCGTCTATGGACAGCGTGAACGCCAACTGCTCGTTACGAGCTGACCACTGTTCAAAGGGCTCCATGGTATAGGCCTGCACTTCGAAAGTAGCAACAGCGCAGCCCGCAGCAATGCGTCGGGATGGGTGTCCTACATCAATGGCCACCTTCTGACATGTAATGATGCGTCGGCCTCGATACTGGTCCAGCGCCACACAGAGTAACTTCATTGGGTAGCGGGATCTGCGCGCCCGCCTCCACAACAGAGGCCGGCCGACATGTTCGCGCTAGTTCTCCAGGACCCAGAGAAGAGCGGCTGATTAAGAGGGCGCGTCTTGTGCTTTGGAATTTTCGGGCTCCAGTGCTTGCCGGTCTCCTCTATGCAGCGGCCCTGTAGGTGGCCGATGAATGGCCTGCGATGTTCCCATCCCACTGTCAGACGACTGGTTGTCGGCACTTGGCGCACAGTCTGTACGAAGCAGGACTGAGTCATATTGATCTGAAGGCAAGGGCTCCCAGGCCTTTGGGTCTGGCCTTCAGGAGTAGAGTCGAAATTATGGCACGGATGGCCGACGGGAATTGCCCGTGCTTTTCGATTGCGCAGAAAACGGCATTTAAATTTCGAGGTATTCGTCATTTAGTAAAGCAAAATGCCTAGGGTGATACCCATAAGGTTTGTGCGGTCTTGGCTGGGAACGAAACCGACGCATCTCTGATCTCTCGAGGCGTTAGCCTAAGTAGTTCGGGCCCTTCGGGTAGGAAGGGTTTTAAATTGGTTGCTGATGTTTGCCACAATTCCGACATGCGCAGTGCTTCACCTTCCAAGAGGGTGGACGGCCTGGCCGTCCATTCAGTGCCGACCTTTACATGCGCAGGCTTCCACGCGGGCGTGTCCTTAGTCCACCGGTG